TGGCTGCTGTTGGGCTCTGACAGTCTTGGAGACCTCTTCCAACCAGCGGTCTGCCTCCGAGGGAGTACGTCTGTGATTTCCTTGGAAGAGACTTGGCGAGGCTGCACCCGAGGAGGTGCTGCTCCATTCTGTGCCTGGGAAGGGAAACATGGGGAAAGTCACAAATATTTCCACTCCTTGCCTTTTCGTCAGTTAGTTAGAAAGGCTGGAGGATGTGCACAACACCAAACTGGCCTCCTCTCCCATGGCTGAAAGACCGCTACCAGCAGGGGAAGAGTCTTTGTGCATCTACTGCACTGTATTGTTAGAAAAGACATTGGTCAAGGAAGGGACAGAGAAAAGCTTCTTCACTAAAATGCAGCTTTTTGTATCTTTTTTTCTTCAGAGCAGGCATCTGAGACTTCAGGGCATGCAGGACTGCCGCTGCCTGCACTCAGAGCAGACCTAGTCCAGAACCACTCATTCTTCTAACTGGGGAGTGTCAGTTTTGGAGCATACAGCTCAGGACAAAGCTGTAAGACACTGGTTCTTAAGACTTGCTTATTCCCTAAATTAAGGCTTTACCCTCTAAAAGACAGCAATGTAATGGTACTGGGAGTTCAAGACAACATTCATTTTTCTGTCCCATGTACACTGAAGTGTGAGTACTCACTATGATATCTATGAATATTACTGTATATGATACACAAACTGTACTTAATATAAGTCCTTTATATTATTCTTCCACCTCCCTCACCCTCACAATACTCTTTTCATACAAAACTCAGGCTGTTAACCTCTCAACCTCTTTTGCAATGTTCAACACTTAACATTTTAGATTTTTCATCTATAAAATCGGCTCTGATTTTTAACTCATTTATCCTCAATGACTAAATAAATAAATAAATAAATCAATCAATCACAATAATTTCCATTCTTCCCAGTTCCCAAACTATCTATCTTCCCCCAGGCTGAGTTCTGGTTTCACCCTTCCTCCAATTTCAAATTCTCAAAAGGGTCTTGCCAGGTTTCCAGTGTGATGAGAAAACCAACCAGGAATGCTAGAGATGGCTCTGCTGCTCTTCTCTGGTGTTTTGGAGAAGTGGAAAACCATTACTGGCTTGGGAGCCTTCAGTCAGCTTGATGTAGTTAAGCACCTTCTACAGATCATTTACTGTTGTTTTTTTTTACAGTGGGGACTGCTGGAGGCAGAGCTTTTAAGGACTCTTGTGGGGAAGACACTGGACTCTTACAAGGCCAAGTAGAACCTACTATTTCACTAGCAACGGTTCTTGAATTTTTGAGTTGAGCTCACACCAGGAAATGGTGTCGGTTTGCTCGTAGCACGTGTCCATCTGGGTGACGGGCATTTAAAGTACCACCTGACATTGCCTGTAACTACAGACAAAGCCTGGAGGGCCAGACCAAACTTACTGAACAAAAGAAATGAACCTCTAAAGCCATCAAGCAATCAGCTTAATCTCTCCTTACGTACATTAGCAGAAAGAACTCAGAAAAAATTATTTAGAGCACACAAAGTTTCTTTCCCCTTCGTCCCCAAATACACACGATTTCATTACTTCCTATTTAAGCACTGGACTGTCTAAAATACTGCCAAAATAAGACTCGGTTCAGCTTATAGACCCACAACCAGCGAGTTCATCGCTTCCCTCCATCCACTCACGCGAAAGGCAACTACTTCCAGCTTTTGTTACTGTTCCTTCCACTTGCCATTAAGTGCCACTGACAATCGTCTCAAGGGCTCAATTACGGTTTTTGATCCAAGTTCTCAGAGCAAGTGCATCGGCTCTGCTTCCAGTCTTACCCGCAACCACGGCTGCAGCTCCAGTATTAGCAGCAGGAGCATGAGCCCAAGGATTGGTTTCACGAACGGGCATAGCTGTGGACACTACAGCAGCCTGGGATGGTTTAGCAGCAAGCACACAGAAGGCAGCGGCAGTGCCATTAACTAAAATGGGAGCAGACAACATCAGTGGAATTAATTCATGCAAAGCATGCACGTGACAGGAATATTAGTAGACCATGTCGTAACTACCAACATACAACAGTTTTAGACACTTCCACATGACAGCAGTTTGTGTAAATCCGCCAAATCGGGCTGACAGTCACTAAAGCTAGCGAATTCCATTTCGCCAAGCCAGCGCTTGTTAACAGAACTGTGGGATGGTGGATTTTTATGTATTCGATGAGGCCTCGAGTTCTGATGACTGACTGCAGTTAAATTTGTTGGGTTTTAAAGAGGAGATATGGCTCACCAGAAGTTACTGTGGGATTAATTTTAGATTCAAAAGAAGAACAGATTTGAGACGCAAAGTAACAATAACTACATTTAACACGGAGAGGTTCTTTTTTTTCACACAACTTGTATAAAAGTGTATCAGTGAAATGAAGATCAGAAGCTGCCATGAGCTCTACAGTTGGCATCTGTCCACAACCTAATCTAAGAGTTTGTGTGAAAAACAGTAATCTTGGTGGCACAAAAGCTCTTCCCTTGTGGGATTGTGGTTCCCGGGACACACATTTGGTGAATTTTTTTCCAGTTTAGGAGGCAGAATGTTAAAACAGCCATTCTCTCAAAGCCAGTCCCTTTTACAGGTAACTATCGTGTGGTAGGTGTGTGAACTTTTTGTTAAAAACAAAACCACAGAAAAACTAAACAGATAAGATGAATAAAGCCAGATGCATTTCTCCAAAATACCGATAACAGGCCTTGCACAAGAAATTAAGACCACATGTTACCGGAAAGCATTCAAGTCTCATCCAGCACGACCACGGGCACGCAAAGAAGTCACAAACCTTGGAAGGCAGGAGACTGTGGTGCGACTACTGTCACTGGTTTGGTCATGGGGGCCGAAGAGAAAGGATCTTCTGATGGTGTGCTGAAAGCACTGGTGATCTGAGAGCACAGGGCACTAATGCTGTCCGTTTCCCCTTCTACTTCGGGGACTAAAATGTAAACAAAATGCATTAAATTGGAAGCTTAAAGGATACAGAAACAGTTTACAAATACCAACGTTGAGACTGAAAGGTAATTAGTTCCCTTATGTCCTAGATGTTCCTGCTAATGATTTGCATGACAGCTTTTTTTTTCTTAAGAAAAAATCAGTGTTGAAGAGCTGACCTGAAATAGAACATGACATTAGGACATTTTGTCGCTAAGTCAAGAGGGTGCGGAGATCAGCTTTCCAGATTTGAAGTCCGTTATTACTGCTTCTCTGTATTAATGCAAGAGGATGTCCATTTCAGAAAATAAAAGGGGTTTCTATAGCTTTAGTAGAGATTTAAATCTCTCAGTATTAAAGTGCTAAACATATCAAAGATTTGGCACTCTGTGAAATGAAAATACTCATGATAGATCTAAGTGTTCCAACAACGTACTTCCCCAGTAACTAGATGAAGAAGTTTAAACGTGCTGACAGCAATGCACAGAGGCGAGTGAAGCCCCAAGTTAGAATGTTCATTGCTCCAGTTCAGCAGTAGCTGAAATCTCTAGCTCCTGTGGTAGAATCACAAAAAGCAAAATGCATGCTCAGATAAAACAGGCACTCGGTTTTAAACCAAGTATTAGCATAATGTGGATAAAGTAACATCTGGAGTAAAACTGCCAACTTACCAGATGTTCTCATTATTCCTAATTGCACTGCTTTTCAAAAGTACTGGTCATCAGCCCTTCAGCGCACAGAACTGACACGAGCAGGCATAATTAAGCACAAATAATATAACAAAAGCAGATGTCTGAACACAACATGCACTGTATCTAAAATTCAGGGGGAGGCATGCCCGAAAATTGATTATTTGAGGAGTATTCCAAATACAGCGCATGTGGTGAGACAGTAAGCAGCACTGGCAGTGACACAACAAGAGAACATGCATCAGAAATGCTCTGAATGATGAAAAATTGAGATTGTAGAATGCTCAGTGAGTAGCACTAGCGAGCAGTGCACTATTACTGTAAAACTGAGTCAACATGTAACAACTGAGTAAAACTGTAAACCTCAGTGCTGGTCTTAAAGCATGGGTCACCAAATAAGGATTATAAGAGAAATCAGACACAGTATTTTTGTTAGTTTTGCCTTTGCCACAGTAACTTTACCTTTAAAAGCTTAGAACCCTAAAACCAGCTCTGTTGCCAAGTGAGAGTACAGCTGGCCTGCAGGATAACCTAGCTAAGCAGGTTCTAGGGCACTGCCCAAGGGACTGAGCACCCTGGGAGTTTATGTAAGGATGAGGAGAAAACCCCACTGCCATCACGTGAAAACTCTACCACGTCACCGGTACAGCCAGCTTTACCACCTAAAAGAGCAAAGCTTCTTCTAATGCAAGGTGAAAAGCCATTTCCTTGCCCTTAAAAAGAAGAATTCAGACAGGCAGAAGGACGGACTGCAGAAGAGCATCACGCGATCCCATGGCAAGGGAGGTTAAGCCCTTGAAGGGTTTTGTCTCTCAGGATGCTCTGGCACTGAAGTGGAGGAACTGGTTCAGTGACTCAGAGGGAAGAGCCAGCACCCACTAATTCACCAACACCCATTCCTGGAGCACTTCAAGCTGTGCTCCAACATTTCAGACAGTGGTTAGAACTGTTTGTCTTCTGCAAGTGAATATCGCATTTGAAATCCTCGCCTATCCCCAAAGCAGCAGCTTTCTGATGTTGGTGATGTTTGTTCATGAGAAATGAGCCACATGAGGCGGGAAGAAGGATTTACGAGAAAAGGAGGAGTTGTTTGAAGCCACAGAGAAGGAAAGGAAGAAGAGACAATTTAAGGTAACATTTCATCGGAGCCAGTTGGTTTTACCTGAGTTTTTCATGGGGAAATCAGTCTTCCTTTGCACCGTTGAAGGCAGCTCATTTATTCGCAAAGACAGCTGGCGTTTAAAAGGAGACATCTTTTGGCTAAGGGCAGGGAAGCCCCGGAAAGACCCTTGCCTGGCAAGCTGTTCTATAGGGGCGTGCCTCCGTGGAATAGCATGCGGATTGCTCATTTCTTTCTCCAGAGAGGCAGTAGCTTCAGCAGTAGGAGAGGTTGGTGAGCCAGAAGAAGGGGCAGTATTGTTTGGTGCAGCACCTGGTGCTACTGTTTTCGCTTCTGTTTCAACTGCTGGAGGAAATAGGATGAGGTTAGAAGAGTAAAGCAAAGTAGCGTTCAACTGCCTGCCCCTGCTCCCGTTGGTTTTGAAAGGAGAAATTGCAGGGATTTGCATAACTAGCACTCTTCCAAACAAGTTTCTTACGCCACAGCAGAAAAATCATTTCTGTATACCTGCACCACGTCACTTTACATGCACCCAGTCTGCAAAGCAAAGCTTACTAAGGCTAGACTTCCTAGAAATTATGGCCTTATATATGTATTCTTGCTAGCTATTCCCAAGACCCCAGTTCTGGAAAGACTTGCAATTCCTTTACAAGCAGGGCTGAAAAGCATTATCGCATGTTTGAGACTTTACTTTGCCTCACACAGAACTACAGCCAAAATATACTACAAACTGTATTAATAAAGTGTCTTAGGGTGGCAGCAGCGGGGAACAGAACCCAGCTCGAGGACGTCCTTTGAAAAGCCACCCGCCCGGCCCTGCAGAATCAGCAGCAGTAGCCAAACAGACGGCGCAAGCTTGGGCAGGCCAAAGGCAGCAGCGCAGGTCAGGCTGCAGCTCCTCCAGGAAACACGTTACACCCACGGCTTGTGAACGCGGCGGGAGAAGGGGAAGTACCTCACCATCCCAGTGCGAGCTCTTACTTTACTGATGCTGCTTTCCAAGTGTTTTAGGAAAAATAGTGACTTTTGTTGCTGACACATCAACGGAGTAACCAGAAGTCCGGTAAAGAGAGGGGTCACACTAGAGATTTCTGAGAAGCTGGTAGGAGGAACTAATTAAGTTGTCTTGCAAGCTTCAGTACCCATGAGTTGCAGCTGCTCGTTCAAGTGAAACTTTTCTAATCAGTCTTTCTTGGAAAGGATTTCACACACCTTCATTGGGTCAAGACTTTGACTCATGCCCTCAAGTAACAAAGGCCTTGTGTTTAAGCTTCATTTAGCACATTCTAAAACTAACGTATGGGAAGAAGCAGATGGATGATGAAAACGAAGATTAAAGTTTTGCAATCGAGCAGCAGCATAAAGCTTGCGGTAGAATCCTCTGAAACAGAAGTTCAAGGCCCCTGTAAAGAGGGCTATGAACAATATTCATAATATTTTTGGTAGCTGTAGAACTCCACTACTGGCAAATAAAACTTGTACACGAAGTTCTGCTTTCACTTGAATTTCAGAATGCTCTAAATGGTGCTTTAAATGGCTGAGAAATAAAAACTAGCTCCTCTCAAACCAATTAGTTTCTAGATTTGAAAGCAATTAACAGTGCAACAGTTACGTGTTTTATAGGGAGGGGACGTGGTTTGTTTTTTTTTTAGGAAGCACACTGTGATGATCTGTTCTTCCCTCATGCAGTGTAAGTCTATACATACACTTTGTAACTTGCCTTAAAAAAAATCAAAACAAAAATACATTATTTTCTAAGAAAAGTGCATATCATTTTCTGTTCATTTCGCTTTAGACTCCAAAAATTTCTGGCAAACTTGTTATATTTTTTATCACGTTTTTCTAATCAGGCCTTTTAGTATGATAGCTACGGTGTTCTCTGCCACAAAGCAGGCTGACAACACGACGCAGGAGCGGCTTTCACACATGAAGCCACTTGTACTTTTTCTAGAGGAGATGTGGGAACAGGCACTACGAGTAAATCTTGGGAGCGTTTTTCATCTTGTGAAGTGACGAGCGCCTGGGAATACCATTTGTACACAGTAAGGCTCAGGAGAGGGAACACCGCAAGGGCGTTATGCCTCAGTCCTTGCACGAGCTCCAGTTCACCTCAGTGCTGGCTTTGCCCACCGTGGATGGTTGCTGAAGTCGCACCGCCGTACCTTTAGCATCCGGCGTCTGTCTCATAATTTCATCTCTCTCAGCTTGTTCGGTAGCGGTAGTGACCCTGAATGACCCCTCCCTGGTGAACGTGGTTCTGCTGGCATCGAAGGTGGCAGTCACTCCGCACTCCTTCTCTCGCTTCTGCTTCCGCTCCAGGCACGCTGCAAACGCACAGCCCACGGCGTGACTCAACCTTTCCCCCTGTACGAGACAGCATTGCGTCACACGGTAACCGGAACAGAAACATACGCGTGCTTCGAGCATCGCGAAGCGACAACCTGCCTTTACGAGCGGAATCTAATTATGGCATTAAAGAGAACCACGGTAATTGGCCACCTTTCGTACATCTCTAAAATTAAACCCGGTATATAAAGACTCCCAACTACTAAAGCACAAGTGGCATTCAAGAAGGCCACCCAGAAATGAAAGAGATTTGTCAGATAATCGGTTTAGTTCGACTGCCGCTAAGATGCCAGCGCGATAACGTGCCTGCCCTGATCCCTTGCCCCTGGATACATCTGTGCACAAAGCCATCCTAAGCAGGTATAAGTCCTGAAGGACAGATAAGTGCTATTCTCAGATGGAGAAAGTTTACAGAGGGCTCAAGGAGACACTACTGTGGCGTGTGAGGGTGAAAATTAAAAGCACGGTGGTGACCACTTACACCTCTGACTAGCTCTGACCAAATGCACAAGTTAGGATTAAGAACGCCTTCCAAAAAGCACTTCCAGTATTAACCAGGGAGGTCAAAAGGATCCACTATCCAATAATAGCAATAAGGAAAGGAAATTCAAGTCGGAGGAAGTCTGCAATCCAGCTGATACAGCGGCTGCAGTTGAGTCAGAGGCGCAACTGCTACCAGTAGCTCAACTCATCTATTACAATCAGTCGAGTGAATTGACCTGTTACTCACAGAGGGAAGTAGAAACGCTCCAGCTCTAATCTAAGTTTAACTAGGAATTTCCAATTCCATTGTTTCTCTTCAAAGAAAAATGATAAATTGTCAAGTACAATTGCTCTGAACATGCAGCTATGTGCGGTTCATGCAATGAATTTGCATGAGGTTTCAAGCCCTTTGCACAACATAGGTGAGATTCAACAAAAAGCAGAAAGAGGAAAATGCCAGATCAAGGACTTAAATCACTTACTTAGGTCTACACAACAAGGGACTGATAGAGGTGACTTACATTCAAATCTTCTACTGGAGAAATCTCTGTCACTTAGACGCAAATGGGACACTAATTTAATTCAGTTTAGCTCCATCCCTTAACATTCAGATGACTTTCCATTCAAGATAACATTCGCATACAAGAGGCTGCATTCATAACCAGTCTGTATTTACTCACTATGGTTTTATCCTGGAAAAACTGTCATTGCTGTCTCAGTTTTTGGCTGTATACATTTTCAGATGAGAATATCTTCTGTCTATTTTTAGAAGAGCAGTTCCCTTCTGCTAGAGATATCTGAGGCTGACTGCATTCCTGTTATACACATGCTGGGCACCGTTTCTCTCCACAAGACGACACCATGGAGGGACGGCAAATAATTCAGACAGAAAGAATTAGAACTAAAATAATTTTCAAGGACTAAACAACATTTTAGCTGAAGTCAAAACTTATCGCAGTATTCTAGGCAGTAACTTTTCTCCCCAAGTGTAACTTCCAGCTAGAAGCTCGAAGAGCCGGACACACACCACATTAAACTTACCGTGTCCTTTACAGCCATGAAGCAGTGGCATATCCAGCGTCGCGTTGTGCCGTCTCGACAGATGTACGAGAATGCCCGGTCAAAGTTCCTGTCTGGTGCGCAGAAAGAAACCTTCTCTATTGTCTGATCAACTATAAGATCCTAGAGGGGGAAAAAAATCCCCCCCCCAATAAAAGAAACATGAGAAAATACAGAGAAACACTTGACCAATTCATTTCAGTGTTAGCTGCAAGAAGATGAGTTACAGCAGAAAGATGATAACCTGATGTGACGATAATCATCTATCAATGAACTCACCATTCAGAATCTCCTCTCAGTTTGAAAAAAAAAGGACAGATGACATTATTTCCCACCAGCCACCTTTAGTAGAAGCGTGCCCAGGCACCACTCAAGTATTTAAGGACATAAAACCATTCCTGAGATCTCTCTTCTAGACTACGGAGCTCGCATTTCTGTTTTATTTAATTTTTACAGCAGCTCCAGTAGGCTTGCGACCAAAAAGAAAGAAAAAAAAGTCTTTAATGTGGTTAAAACACAATGCTGAAACTTCTGGGAGAGGTCTGCAAGTGTGAAAAGGTCTAAAAGCTGCCACATGAGAAGCAGAAGCTGACCTGCCAGCTAGCCAAGCAGGGATGCCACGGAAAAGCACCAGCAGCACTGGCAGCATCAGACACCCCTGATTTGTTCCCAAAGACTGATGGGAGAAGGATTTCTAAAAAGGAAATAGTATAGTTTGAGAACTGTGCCGTCTTCTTTGCTTTTTTTTTTCCTCAATATTTTTTTCAAAATTGTTTCTGTTGGTTGGTGCTTGGCGCTTGGCATCTGTGCTAATGTATTCAACCACCAGGAGGCAATAGTATATGCTCTTTTTAAGTCTTCTACTTTTAATTACCTCCAGGGTCTGCGCAGCTTATTAAAATTCCATTGTAAAATATTAAATATATGCAGAAACATTTTGAAAAATAATGCACATATTATTTTTAAAGGAGGCGGTCATCAGACTGAGTTCACCTACATGAGTATGGTTTTCTTAGAAACTAATTCTTAAGAGACAATAACTATAGCACTGGTGACCCACACCCTAAGGGCAGCCCTGGAGAAGTCTAACCACAGAGCACGGGTCCGATGGGCTGCTCTACCGTGGGAAGATATGAGCTATCTCTGCCTGCTTCTCAGTATTGGCTTGCAGAAATCATCTTTTAGGTTGACAAAATAAGGGTTAAATGACACAAACCTAAAGCAAATTAATTTCCAGCTGAGAGGAGAAATTGTTCCGATAGCCACGTCCTCTTTTAAAAATACTAGTATGCTTAGAGGCAAGCCTAAAGCTCTCATTTCTAACTGCCTGCATCTAGAGAAAACCAAGAATTGTTTGCTATTGCCCACAGGCCCCTCGGTGGTACATATTGTGCTATTTCACAATAATAATAAAAAAAAGTAAAGCAATCTAGAAGAATGCCAGGGCTACATTCCTTTTCCGCTTCAGACCAACAGCTTAGATATTTGATGCTTGGTTACTGCTTAGCTTGGGTCTGAAGGTACAACACCCCCTCTGCATTGCATTTTTGGAAGCTGGCTCTTGTTCATTCTGAGCCACTCTAGGATTTGGAAGCACTGAAAATTACAGTGATTAACGTGAGTTTGCTAATGTATTACTATTGCAGCCTTCTGCAGTGGTGCGGAACAAGAAGGGACTCTTCACGTTCAGTGTCAACAGAACTTCACAGGAAAGTCTTCCACCAAACACAACAAAAGTATTCCAAGCTTGTGCTACCTGTCACATTTTATGAAATACGTCTTGAGAGTAGAGTGGAATAAACTGGGGGAAAAAAAATTAGCGTGCACACATATGTTTACAAAGCCAAAAACAATTAAACTTCAGTCTTCCTTTCAAATACTAGCATTTGCATCAACATGAAGATTGGCATCCATTTAAAGTTACAGCACACACGTCATTATCGAGAGTTTTAAAATTTTTGTCCATGAAATCTAACCTTTGTTTTCTCATCCACAACTCTGAGTCCATCTGCCGAAACCCATAGGACCGCTTTAACGGCTTTCTTCCCAGACTTTTGAAAAGAAGAAGAAAAAAAAAAAGGAAAGAAAAAACCAACAGTTTTATGTCAACATCACCAGAGTGCCACCCGCTTCCCCTTTCCAAGAGCCATAACATTAAGTGTAGGTGAAGTCCACTGTCAGTAAGGTGCCCAAAGCCAGATACTCAATCCAAGTTGCAAAACATTCAGAAAACCAAGCCAAAGCCAGCATTTCAGAAACAGCAACGTCGTGGGGATGGGGAGAGGGCACAGGACAGGTGGAGGCAAAATATGAGGTGTACATCCACTGACAGGAAAGAATTCAAGACTGACCAAGTGGGTGAAGAATTCCACTAAAGAGTCAGAAGACACTATTTCATAAGGAGTTACACCACAGGTAGCTTCTTTAGCGCAAGTTTCAACACAGGAAGATCCTTACCTCGTATTTCCACCAGCCCTACCCTCTGCCCCAACAGTCACGTGGCAGAATCATATCATCACCTTAAACCCGTGTCAAAAGCACCCCAAAATCATCAGTTACGGTGCTACGAGCTTAATGCCCAGATTGACCATCCAAACACGTTTCGCTCACTTTTCTTAAGAGCTAAATGTCACCTCGTGCAAGAGAGGTAGGAAAAAAAAATTAATAAAAAGAAATAATGATTTCTGAACCCTTCGGTGTGTATCCTGACGAAGCAATGGTGTGCGGCGGGGGGGGGGGCCGTCTGGCTTCCAGCCAAGATCTGACTGTGGGAACTTTGAGCTGCCGCAAGGCAAGAGTAAGTAAGAGGGGGAAACACAGGAAGGCTTCGGGAGCCATTGAAACTACGGGTTCTTTCTCGACTGTTTACTTTTTAAGGGAAAATTACAGAAAGCGGCATAAACACTTGACACAATATTCTTCTGACACCAATTCATTAAGCACAAAATAGGTAGAAGATGTCAACATAATTTTACTGGTTGCTACAGAGAACTACTACTAAAGAAATAATCTTTTTTTCTTTTTGAAGTGTTACTTCAACTCACAAGCCACGCGCTTTAAGTCAGCTAATAAAATGTTCTCCCCGTAATGTTTTTTTGAAGCACTGGGTTTACATGGTTTGTGGCCACTAATGCCACCCACCACAGACCATTGCAGGGAGCAAAGAGAGCAACAACAAAAAAAGATGAGGGGGTACCAGCTAGCAGCCTCATGCAAGGATCGCAATGAATTTTTTATTTTTTATTTAATATTTCATCCCAGATGTATATAATTTATATTCATATGGCAAATAATGGAGCAAGGACACATTCTGGCATAAGCTACCACATGTTCCAAGTCTGCAACAGCGATTATAATGCTGTAAGGATGAAATATCTTGGAGTCAAGAGTCTCCTATTATGTCACATTGGTTTCACTCTCAGGGAAAGCATCAAGTGTGAAGAAAACGGGCCTGGCAGAACTTCTGTTTGTTTTGGGGGAGGAACTATCTGTCCCAATTTTGGAAGCAGCAATGACACCCTAAGCATTTTCAAAAAGCTTGGTGAGAGCAGAGAATGGTTTGCACGGAAGAGGATTAAAAGAGAAAAGAGAGAAAACAAGCACAGTGTGAAAGCAAGCTACGGAGAAGTGCTTGCAGAAGCAAGTTTCTAAACGTCCATCCAGCCTGCTGGATGTCCCCCAAGAAGGTTTAAAGTAAAACTGTTAGATTCTGGAATGCCTGATGGAAAGAGTACAATTCACAAAAGTACATGGTACACATGATGGTAAATTTAAGTACTAGAAAACACTGCAGCATTTAAATGCCACTTCTAACTTTTGGCCTTAAAAGACATTATATCTTGACATCCACAAAAATATAGTTTATTTTTGCAATGCTTAGCTAGCTTCCACAGCCTAAAAGTCCTTATTAATCCCCCAAACAGAGGTCTGTCTTCTTTAAAACTCCTGTTTTAAAAAAGGAGTACCAGTTTCTTGTAAGCTGTTAATAGTTGTAAAATCGTTACTTCAAGCAAATAGAATCAAGACAAGACAATGCCTGCAGGTAACTGTTCGGTTTGGATTACCATCATTAGAAACGGAGATACGTGTCTTTCCCCAGCAAACAATAAAATCCTTGTTTCTGCAGAAACAGTGAACAGCTCCTGAAGTTTGTCTCAGGGTCAAGTCAGCTGGGTACCTTGTAAAGCAGCACTGAACTTGAGCAAAGCTACTCCCCACCTGCTATTTTACCAAATGAGGATTTTAAAATAGTGAAAACCGGGAACTCTGTTTCTCAGAATACAACATAAAGGCTGAAGGGCTAAGTCCTCCTCTCCCACCACTGGAAACATAAGGTTTCTCATGCAAGACAAACAAACATGGGTTTGCTACACCCAGAGAAAAACAAAACACACCTTTATTTCCCAGTTCCTTCTTCTAGACTTATGGTGGGTGCAGCAGTTAAGAAGGGCTATGTCCTCACAGTCTGTATCCCAAACCCCCAGCAACTACCGTTGGGCAACATCTGATCTCCCCATCTACTGAATCGGGTCCTGCACTTGGGCCGTAACAACCCCACGGAGGTCTGCAGACTTGGTGATGTGGGGTTGGAACACTGCACATCGGAAAAGGTCCTGGGGGTGCTGGCTGACAGTCAGCTGAACATGAGCCAGCAGTGGGCCGAGGTGGCCAAGGCAGCCAACAGCATCCTGGCTTGTATTAGGAATGGTGTGGCCAGCGGGACCAGAGCAGTGATTGTCCCCCTGTACTCCGCACTCGTTACGCTGCACCTCAAGTACCGCGTCCAGTTCCGGGCCCCTCACTGCAAGAAGGACACTGAGGTGCTGGAGTGTGTCCAGAAGAGGGCAATAAGGCTCATGAAGGGTCTGGAACACAAGTCCTATGAGGAGCAGCTGAAGGAACTGGGATTGTTAAGCCTGGAGAAAAGGAGGCTGAGGGGAGACCTTATGGCTCTCTACAACTACCTGAAAGGGGTTTGGAGAGTGGAAAGGGTCAGCCTTTTCTCCTTAGTAGCCAGTGATAGGACTAGAGGAAAGAGCTGCGAGTTGTGCCAGGGCAGGTTTAGGTGGGATATTAGGAGGAAGTTCTTCACTGAAAGGATCGTTGGGCATCAGAATAGGCTGCCCAGCACAGTGGTGGATTCACCATCCTTGTAGGTATTAAACCAACATGTTGATGTGATGCTTAGGGACATGGTTTAGTGGTGACCTGGCAGTGCTAGGGTAATCATTGAACTCTATGATCTTAAAGGTCTCTTCCAACCAAAGAGATTCTGTGATTCTCCACTATCTGCACCTACAACTGATGTGTGAAGGAACATACTGCTCCAAATCCATTTATATTGGATGTACAAATCAAAGTACTACTCCATTACAGGTAGGATACTGCCAAGTGTATCATAACTACGAAGGAGAAACACGAGCATTTGCACACCTGGCACACACCAGACAAAGATCAGTTTGGATGCAAGATGCTACATGGGAAGTGAATTCCAGTGCAGGAACCAGTTCGTGCAATAAATACTGAAAGGTATAAGTGATTCCAAACAAAAGCATGAAAATGGCCAATATCCACTGGAACAGTGTGGTCTTAAATGCTGCTGCTGAGGGACTCACGTAGACATCCCTATCAGTAGCTTGTCTTCGTATTCGAGAGCTTTGGGATGACAGCACTGCTGGAGGAGAGCCACGTGGGCACCGGCTCCTGGGAGCCCGATCCATCAGCGCTGAGTCAGCCCTGATAGAAACCTCGCTGCTCAGCACTTCTTAGAAGGTCAGTAATCCGCCTCAATATTCGTTATCTGGGCTGATTTCAGAGTCCTCCGAGGCCTCCAGGAGAGCGGGCGAGGCACCCGTCCTGACAGATGATGAAGCCAGGAGACAAAGCAGAACCACTGTGGGCTGGAGATGAGGGAAACCTCTCCAACAAGCTGGCAATGCCCTAGAGATGGGCACCCAGTAAAAAAATAAAGAAAATTAAGTGGATTAAATCAAAAATGCCCATTTCCTAATCAACAGTGTGGGTCGTGACAATTTACCTGTTAAAAGCAATAGGTACAGGGAGATAAGTAGGAGCTATATTGCAAGGTGGTAAATAAAGTTTTAAGGATCCCAGAGCAGAATCAAAGTTGCCCAATAATGCATTTTTTAAATACTTGTACGTTGTTTCTAGTCTTTCTGCCTATTTTATTCTGTCCTGAGACTTACAAACAGCTGTAAGATGTATCTGGAGTCTGAGGTATACATAAAGAAAATTTTTCATTTCAGACTCTGTATAACACATTGCACAATGAGAAACACTTGTGCTCGGTGGAAGCACCACATGAGAAAGATCACCCAATCTGTACTGCAATTCATTAGAACAGAAAAGCTTCAGTTTTCAAATACTAAGAGCTGGCCTAAAAAAGGCGGGTAATTTGGTTACGTTGCATACGCCACACAAGATAAATCTGCAGAAGCCTAACAGAGCTATCAACAGATACCTCATTTTTATTTAAAGTTGAAAATATTTTCAACATTTCTGGACACAAACCTGCCAGATTTACCTTTTAGGGGGAGAAAAATATGGACAGGGAAAGCAGCAAACCCGTCCAGACTGAATTTTCGAAAGCTGCTGGTGTGCTTTAAGCAGCTCGGGATATTATATTAATCCCAAGGCAAGTCATCTGCGGAGAAATGATAGATGAGACAGTCAAGAGATATTAGAGTTATTAGTATTTCTCAATTATTAATAAGGGACCAGCTGTCCCTTCTTTTGCAGTTTTACCCTGTATTTAGGCTGCCGGTGCAGGCCAAAGCTGCAACAAAGGCAGGGCCACACGGCTGCGGTGGGGATATATCTAAACATCATGGATCCAAGCGGTTTCCGTGGTATTTAATGAAACTTCACAGGCTGAAGCAGAAGTAGATCCATCTTCACAAAAAAAAATTATAAAAAACAAAGCGATTCTACAAGGCTGTGGTAAAGCAGTAGACTTGTTAAAAAGAAATGAAAATTTAACAGGGGAGCTTGCATGTTCAATAGATAATTTCAGAAGTCAAAGACAGAATTT